GCTGTCCCCGGGCCGCGGGAGATGCAGGCGGCGGCGCCCGGGGGTAGGAGGGGTGACCCCGGATCCCTGCGCCCCTTACCTGACGGGTTGTGTAACGCATGTCTTTCACGGGGCGTGAGGGAAAGCACTCGGTCTTGAGGGAAAGCCCTGACGGGCTGGGGCTTTGGCTGGGTCTGGAAAACGCCTTCCTCAGTCCCCGGACCCTCGGTGGACCCCCGTCCCAGTCGTTGCGGAGGGTATTGGGCGCGGTCTCTGGGCGGAGGCCGCCCCTTCTGCTCTGCCCTTTCTCTCGGGCCCGAGCTCGCGGCGCCGCGGGGAGTCTAACCGAGGGGCTGCAGGGCCGGGGCGGGCGCGCCCAGCCCCGCGCCCCTCCTCCGCGGTGGTAGCCGGCCGCCGGGTCGCGGGCCCCTGTGCCTCGGCAATCCTAGGGTTCCCGGCTGAGCGCCAGCAAGGTGGGATTTGCTGTGACATCGGCGATGGGCAGGTTTGCTTCCTCTCCCTGGGTGGTTTGAGCTGAAGTGTGTCTTCTGTTTACAACTTGTCGCCTTGAGCATTTGGTTTGAACCTGAATCGGATCACCCTCGATGACAGTGCAGAGTTTCCTTAGTGTCTTCCTTCCTGAATTGCGGGTTCTCAATTGCAAGTGTTCAAGGACTCCTGTAACCCAAAGACTTGCTCGACTCTACCGTAATTTTACCCCTTGTGCCGTATAAACCTCTTTTGAGCACCAGGGCAATTGGAGTTGGTTGGGTTCCTTTCCTGGGCGTTTACTCATTGTAGAATGGAGTTTTCATGCATCATAGTGTAATCGATGTGAATGTTGATAATTTAAAGCCCATTTCCCGTTTTAACATAGCTCACTCAAGTGCCTGAAAGTAGCGGAAATTTTCTTTGGCAGTATTAATTCTAGCTGGGTTTTTTCCTTCAGGTGTTTAAAATTGTAGTTGTGTTTAATTACAATTCATGACAATTTGTGGTTAGAAAGGACCTTAACAGTCTTCTTAATCACTCATTTTCACTTACCTTTTATGTCCGTTTTTTAAGCTTTATGTAAATCAAATTATCCTTTGTGAACCTCTGAATTATTCTTATAAACTGGTTGTCTGGGAAAACCAGAAAGTTATTTTTGTAATTGTATTGTGGAATGTTTTTAGTTCAGTAGGCCAAAAAAGAAGTGATTTATTTAAGGAACTTTAAATGGTGCTTATTTTAAAACATGTGCCAAGTGTCAGAACCAAACAAAACTCTAAAAGATCTGTAAGTATTTCCTATGTAGAATTACTGCGAGATAATAAGTCGTGCCATACCCGCTCTTTCTCATCTTGCAGGCAGAGTTCTAATATGACTTGTTCATTTTCCCATTCCACTTCTCGTGAGTTAAATTCTATGGTGAAGTTATAGGTTCATTTTTAATGATCACGAAACTCTGCCTTGAATTGATTCATCACATAATTACAACTGCAGACTCATTCTGAACTTGGAAATGAAGTGGATAGGCTTAACACTACCCTCGTATTTGGCCAACATAGCAAAACATTTGAATCTATTAATGTAATTTAAACTTTTGTAGAAGCAATTTTTATAAAGCTTTTCCAATTGACTTGAATTGAGGCATTGTTCTCTTTAGAAAAATGTAGCTAGGCTGCTATATAATAATGGTTTTACTTCCATTAGCAGAAGGAAAAGAGGTCCAAGAGTTATGAAATTTTGTAATTTGTATTCTACTTTTTTTTTTTTTTTTTTGAGACGGAGTCTCACTGTGTCACCCAGGCTGGAGTGCGGTGGTGCGATCTTGGCTCACTGCAGCCTGCCCCTACCGGGTTCAAGCGATTCTCCCGCCTCGGCTTCTTGATTCTAGGCGCGCGCCACCACGCCCAGCTAATTTTTGTGTTTTTAGTAGAGACAGGGTTTCACTATGTTGGCCAGGCTGGTGTCGAACTCCCAACCTCAGGTGATCCAGTGGCCTCAGCCTCCTAAAATGCAGGGATTACAGGCATGAGTCACCGCACCTGGCCTGAATTTTTTTTTTTTTTTGAGACAGAGTTTTGCTCTTGTTGCTCAGACTGGAGTGCAGTGGCGTGATCTTGGCTCACTACAACCTCTGCCTCCTGGGTTCAAGCGATTCTCCTGCCTCAGCCTGCCGAGTAGCTGGGATTGCAGGTGCACACCACCACGCCTGGCTCTAATTTTTTGTATTTTTAGTAGAGACGGGGTTTCACCATGTTACTTAAGCTGGTCTTGAACTCCTGACCTCAGGTGATCTGCCCACCTCGGCCTCCCAAAGTGCTAGGATTACAGGCGTGAGCCACCGCGCCCGGCCTGGCCTTAATTTTTTTAAACCTCATCCAAAGTATTCATCTTCCCAAATCTGCTTTTCTTGCTTGAAGTCCTCCACTATCTGAAAATTGAACAGTGCGTGAATAGCAATTGATGCACCTGTCAGAGGGCCGTCTGCAAGATGGGAGCTTTCCTTAGGCAATGGGTTTCAGTATAAACAACCGGAATTGTGTAGGGTGGGCCCTGAATTTTAAACTTCAGATATTATTGTTGATTACTATGCCTGTGTACTATAGTGTAGTGGCTAAGCGGTTGGGCCCCAGAGCCAGATGGCTCGGTTTGGGTCCTGGCTTTACTTTAAGCAAGTTATTTTTATTTATTTATTTTTTTAAAGCAAGTTATTTGTCCTTTTTGTGCTCCAAAAATGACATAATAATAGTATATACTCTTAAGATATTCTCAAGTATTAAGTGATTAATATATGTACAGTGCTTAGCCCACAGTGCCTGGCATTTAGTAACTGGTGCCTAGGAAATGTTGCTATTATTACTGTTGCTCTTCCTCAGTCTTCAGAGCGATCTAGTAAGCGGAAAAAGGACTTTTGGCGGATGGAGCAGTATTAGTGCAGATTAATTCCACTATGACCCATTTGCTCCTTTGGGGTTAAATGAGAGCTTAGTCTCACCGTCCTGCCTTGGAAACATGTAAGTCAGTTTTAAATAGAACAGCTAGACCCTGAGCGGGGTGCCCTGGGATGCTACTGGAGAGCTGCTGATATATCCCTGTTTGTCCCTTCTGACAGAACTTTGGATTGTGTCCCTCCTGTTGGTGATGGCTGCTATTTTAATCTTTTAATCATCTGTTTCTGAGTTTGTGATTGGGTGTTTCTTTGACCATAATGTGCCGTTATCAAAAATGTAATCTGTCAAAATATTGGTAGGTACATACGTGTTTATTTGATCAGAATATTGTATGTTGTTTCCAGGGCACACAAAATCAGTTTTATCTAAGTATTCTTTATTTTCTTTTTTATTGATATTATATAGAGTGAGGTCAGTTTTGATTTGACATTGTGTTCATTTTCAGCTTTCATATAATTTTCCTAGGAACTTTTTTTTTTCCCTCCAGTGTGATTTTACATACTTGTTCTTGGTTTGCAGAGGTCTAATATTAAAACTCTAAATGCTTTCAAACGTTTGGTCTCAGAACCCTTTTACACTGTTAAAAGTTGTTGAGGATCCCCAAAAAGCTTTTGTGAATTTATCTATGTTTACTGTATTGTAAATGAAAAGAGAAATATAAATTGTTTTGTCAGTTCACTTAACATGACAATTATAAACTCTTTACATGTTAATATAAACACCATATTTTTAATGGAAACAACTTTTTTTTAAACAAAAAATAAGGTAGTGAGAAAAGTGGCATTGTTTTACTTTTTTTGTAAATCTGTCTGGTTTAAGGGAAACAGCTGGATTATCATATCTGCTCCTGCATCGAGTCTATTGCAGTATGTTGTTTGGGTTGAAGTACATATAGAGAAAATCCAGTGTCACACAGGTAATGGCTGAACAGGGTGGAGAGGCCAGGGGAGGGAGCATTTTAATAGCTTTTTCAGATAATTGTGGATATTCTTGTTTGGTATTATATCAAAACTCAGTAAGTGGCAATTTCTTAAAGGTTAGATGCAGTGGGAAATCATGTAAGTGGATTTTTGCATGCTCTGGTAAAACCCATTGGCTTGAACTTTGAATGGATCTTACACCCATTCCTGAGATTGTAACATCATTCCTTGGTCATTTGTAAATATTGGTTCAGTGTTATGCAGATCTTCCAAATGTTGACATCTTTCATCATGCAATGTCAAAGAAAGTTATGGTTGTTAATATCACCACCCATTTTGTTAGAGACAAATTATTGGGAAGCTGTTTAGGTCTTGACATGATGATGGTGGATATGAATTTTCCAGAATTCGGATTTTTGCTTGAAAGCTCAAATTTTATCATTGGCAACAAATGTGACTTGTTTACTTAAAGTGACAAGCAAGCTCAGTTTATTCATTTCTGAGAAAACCTCTGCCAAAATATTCCAATTTGAATAACCATAGTCTGTCAATCATTCTTTCAGTCACTTTCATTAAAAAAGAGGCTAGTTCAAGCTGTCAGTTCAGTTACAAAAGCACTTTACTTTGAGACAACCATCAGTTATTATAATTCAGTATGTAGCAGAAATGGTTCGTGCAAACTTCCCATTTTGTCACGTAAAAAGGTGTGTAAAAATTAATAATTTTTACTGTTTCAAGGACATTCTTAAGTGACATTGACTTTTTCTTGTCTTTTTTTTTTTTTTTTTTTTTTTTTTGGGAAAGTTTTAAAAAAAATTGGTTTTTTTTTTTTTTTTTTTTTTTTAATGTTTTATAGAATTTACCAGTGAAGCCATCAGGTTTAGGGCTTTGCTTTGTAAGGAGGCTTTTTTGTTTTTTTGTTTTAGATGGAGTCTCTCTTTGTCGCCAGGCTGGAGTGCAGTGGTGCGATCTTGGCTCATTGCAACCTCTGCCTCATGGATTCGAGTGATTCTTCTGCCTCAGCCTGCTGAGTAGCTGGGATTACAGGCACGTGCCACCACGCCCAGCTAATTTTTGTATTTTTAGTAGAGACAGGGTTTCACCATGTTGGCCAGGCTGGTCTCGATC